TGAGAAAGCGACAACAACTGTTCCGCACAAAATATTCCAACTTTCTGGCTTCAAAGTGTTTCTGGTTTGCGCCGCCTTGTCGCTGTTGACAAATTTCCAGTACGGTTACTCGACCACTTACTTCAACACTCCAGTGGCGTCATTCAAGAAGTACCTGAATGAGTCGATGACCAGACAAGGTGTGACTTTCAATGAACCCACCTATCAGTGGATGTGGAACCTACTGATCAACGTTTGGTTTGCTAGTTCATTTGTGGGCATGTGGCTTGCTCCTGTTCTCAACGACCGTTACGGCAGAAAAGGTCAAACTCCATTTGTTCTCCACAGTTTATACAGATTTCAAGAAAATTTCTCGAGAAATCACTGTCGCTGTCGACCAGCAGATAGTCGAGGAGACGTTTTTAAGAAATAGAAAATTAAAATGAGGCAATTCCAAAAGAAGAAGTAACTTTTTACCAATGTTTTTTTCCAAAATGCTTATTAACTCAGCTTCTGAAATTTCCTCATACCTTAATTCCTATTATATTTGCGTTTCCCGTTAATCGCCCTTAACTGTTTCCGGAACGACAGCGATTCTGGTTTCTTGAATTACTTAAAAAAGTTATGCATCTATTGAAAAAATTGTATTGCCATGTTTCTGGGGAATGAAAAGCCCAACTGTCACATTCTGAAGTTAATTTACTGTGTTATTTTTTAATTAGTCTTATGAATTCGAAGTGATTCTGTAGCTGGATTTTTGGTTGCTAACAGTTTAAGCCTAGTGGCTTCTGTGCTCCGAACTCTCGCAATTATTACATACTTACCGGAATTGTTATTCATTGGCCGCATAATCACATCAGTTACGGTAGCAGTGTCCTATCAGTCGCTTATCCTGTACTTACAGGTAACCAAAATCAATCCTATTTTCTGTCTGCCTCATTCAGATCTGCCCTGAGCATCACGCTGAAATGTACTAAAATATTTTGAAAAACTCTTTCTTATCTGGTAGTGCGTTTGAAAAAAATACAGCAGAAAACAGTTGCTGTTTAACTGAATACTGAACGTGGCAAATTGCGCTCTGACAGATTCCGGAATCATCCGTCCCAACAGAATCCTTTCAGAGGAGGCAATAAATTCCATCATCAGCTTAAAATAACTACAAATTAATATGGTATAGGAGTGCTCGCCGACGAAGTATCGGAGTATGCTGAGTTTCACAAGTGAGATTTCGTTTGCATCGATGTGCACGCTTGGCATGATACTTGGTACCGACCAGATATTCGGCCGTAAGCTGCATTTACTACTTGGCTTTGCAATAATCCCAGGTAAACTGTCGTTTCCAAAAGTTGACTGACAAAAAAAAAACGAATGCGTGGCGATATCACATTAAAAAAATTGGCCAACGCACGGGCTGCCCGTGCGAAGATGCGTTTTTTGCAGAGTTCCTCGCAGTT